ATGAAGCGACTAAAATGCCGGGAGCAATGGGCTAATAACCCCTTCTCCTGAAAACATTTACTAAAAAAGAGAAGAAGAAAAACTTTAAAAAACTGGGATACTTGAATGTGCGTGGATGTAGTGTGGATGACAAGAAACAGATGATTGCTGATGTTATGAATGAAAAGAAGTTGGATGTCCTGGCCTTAAGTGAAACAAAGCTGAAGGGGGTAGGGGAGTTTCGGCGGGGGGAAATAAATGGGATTAAATCTGGAGTATCTGAGAGAGTTAGAGCTAAGGAAGGGGTAGCAATAATGTTGAAGGATCAGTTATGGAAGGAGAAAAGAGAATATGAATGTGTAAATTCAAGGATTATGTGGATTAAAGTAAAGGTTAGATGCAAAAAGTGGGTCATAATAAGTGTGAATGCACCTGGAGAAGAGAGGAATGTAGAGGAGAGAGATTTTGGGAGATGTTAAGTGAATGTATAGGAACCTTTGAACCAAGTGAGAGAGTAATTGTGGTAGGGGACCTGAATGCTAAAGTAGGAGAAACTTTTAGAGAGGGTGTGGTAGGTAAGTTTGGGGTGCCAAGTGTAAATGATAATGAGAGCCCTTTGATTGAACTTTGTATAGGAAGGGGTTTAGTTATAGGTAATACATATTTTAAGAAAAAGAGGATAAATAAGTATACAAGATATGATGTAGGGCAAAATGACAGTAGTTTTTTTGGATTATGTATTGGTAGATAAAAGACTGTTGAGTAGACTTCAGGGTGTACATGTTTATAGAGGGGCCACAGATATATCAGATCACTTTTTAGTTGTAGTTACACTGAGAGTAAAAGGTAGATGGGATACAAGGAGAATAGAAGCATCAGGGAAGAGAGAGGTGAAGGTTTATACACTAAAAGAGGAGGCAGTTAGGGTAAGATATAAACAGCTATTGGAGGATAGATGGGCTAATGAGAGCACAGGCAATGGGGTCGAAGAGGTATGGGGTAGGTTTAAAAATGTAGTGTTAGAGTGTTCAGCAGAAGTTTGTGGTTACAGGAAAGTGGGTGCGGGAGGGAAGAGGAGCGATTGGTGGAATGATGATGTAAAGAGAGTAGTAAGGGAGAAAAAGTTAGCATATGAGAAGTTTTTACAAAGTAGAAGTGATGCAAGGAGGGAAGAGTATATGGAGAAAAAGAGAGAGGTTAAGAGAGTGGTGAAGCAATTTAAAAAGAGAGCAAATGAGAGAGTGGGTGAGATGTTGTCAACAAATTTTGTTGAAAATAAGAAAAAGTTTTGGAGTGAGATGAACAAGTTAAGGAAGCCTAGAGAACAAATGGATTTGTCAGTTAAAAATAGGAGAGGAGAGTTATTAAATGGAGAGTTAGAGGTATTGGGAAGATGGAGGGAATATTTTGATGAATTGTTAAATGTTGATGAAGATAGAGAAGCTGTGATTTCATGTATAGAGCAAGGAGGAGTAACATCTTGTAGGAGTGAGGAGGAGCAAGTTGTGAGTGTGGGGGAAGTTTGTTTAGGCAGTAGGTAAAATGAAAGGGAGTAAGGCAGCCGGGATTGATGGGATAAAGATAGAAATGTTAAAAGCAGGTGGGGATATAGTTTTGGAGTGGTTGGTGCTATTATTTAATAAATGTATGGAAGAGGGTAAGGTACCTAGGGATTGGCAGAGAGCATGTATAGTTCCTTTGTATAAAGGCAAAGGGGACGAAAGAGAGTGCAAAAATTATAGGGGGAGAAGTCCATTGAGTATACCTGGTAAAGTGTATGGTAGAGTTATTATTGAAAGAATTAAGAGTAAGATGGAAAATAGGATAGCAGATGAACGAGGAGGCTTTAGGAAAGGTAGGGGGTGTGTGGACCAGGTGTTTACAGTGAAACATATAAGTGAACAGTATTTAGATAAGGCTAAAGAGGTTTTTGTGGCATTTATGGATTTGGAAAAGGCGTATGACAGGGTGGATAGGGGGGCAATGTGGCAGATGTTGCAGGTGTATGGTATAGGACGTAGGTTACTGAAAGCAGTGAAGAGTTTTCACAAGGATAGTGAGGCTCAAGTTAGAGTATGTAGGAAAGAGGGAGATTATTTCCCAGTAAAAGTAGGCCTTAGACAAGGATGTGTGATGTCACCGTGGTTGTTTAATATATTTATAGATGGGGTTGTAAGAGAAGTAAATGCAAGGGTCTTGGCAAGAGGTGTGGAGTTAAAAGATAAAGAATCACACACAAAGTGGGGGTTGTCACAGTTGCTCTTTGCTGATGACACTGTGCTCTTGGGAGAATCTGAAGAGAAGTTGCAGAGGTTGGTGGATGAATTTGGTAGGGTATGTAAAAGAAGAAAATTGAAAGTGAATACAGGAAAGAGTAAGGTTATGAGGATAACAAAAAGATTAGGTGATGAAAGATTGGATATTAGATTGGAGGGAGAGAGTATGGAGGAGGTAAATGTATTCAGATATTTGAGAGTGGACGTGTCAGCGGATGGGTCTATGAAAGATGAGGTGAGTCATAAAATTGATGAGGGAAAAAGGGTGAGCAGTGTGCTTAGGAGTCTGTGGAGACAAAGAACTTTGTCCTTGGAGGCAAAGAGGGGAATGTATGAAAGTATAGTTTTACCAACACTCTTATACATATAGGTGTGAAGCATGGGTAATGAATGTTGCAGCAAGAAGGCTGGAGGCAGTGGAGATGGCATGTCTGAGGGCAATGTGTGGTGTGAATATAATGCAGAGAATTCGTAGTTTGGAAGTTAGGAGGAGGTGCAGGATTGCCAAAACTGTTGTCCGGAGGGCTGAGGAAGAGTTGTTGAGGTGGTTCGGACATGTAGAGAGAATGGAGCGAAACAGAATGACTTCAAGAGTGTACAGTGGAACCTTGAAAATTGAACGTACCAAATATCGAACGTTTCGAAAATAAGACCATTTTTCGGACAAACTGTGTACCAAAAATCGAACGCGTTTCAAATTTCGGACCGCCGGGTATGGAACCTGTCCGCTGGCCTGCTCTGTCTGCATCCCCACACAGGCGCCGTGAGCAGTCTAGCTTTGTTTATGCTTGAGTGAACACTAACCTGCGATCTCATTCACACATTTTACGATTATTTCGTTGTGTTTAGTACTTGTGGGACTGTGAAATAAGCTGCCATGGGCCCAAAGAATCTTGCTAGCGGTACCCCTGTGGTAAAGAAAGTGAGAAACACCATAGATGTGAAGAAGGAAATAATACAGAAGTATGAGAGTGGTGCGAGACTTGTTGAGCTTGCCAGGATGTACAGAGGACTGTGGACAGTTATTTTGTGAGACAGAAACAGATGACTGTGGACAGTTATTTTGTGAGACAGAAGCAGAAGACTGTGGATAGTTATTTTGTGAGACAAACTGAGGGCTGAAGACAGTTATTTTGTGAGACTGGGGTCCAATGACTCCAGATGCCATCACCAATCTTCAATAAAGGTAAGCAAAAATGTTATTTTATATTACTATACATAATTAAAGACTATAGCATTTGTTGTGTGTATGTAAAACTGTAATTAATCTCTATAAAATGTATTATTTTTGTGAATATTTTTGGGTTTCTGTAATGGATTAATTGTATTTCCATTATTTCTTATGGGAAATATTGCTTCGAATTTCAGACTTTTCGAATTTAGAACTAGCTCCTGCAACGGATTAAGTTCGATTTTTGAGGTTCCACTGTATCAGTCTGTAGTGGAAGGAAGGCAGGGTAGGGGTCGGCCTAGGAAAGGTTGGAGGGAGGGGGTAAAGGTTTTGTGTGCGAGGGGCTTGGACTTCCAGCGGGCATGCGTGAGCGTGTTTGATAGGAGTGAATGGAGACAAATGGTTTTTAATACTTGACGTGCTGTTGGAGTGTGAGCAAAGTAACATTTATGAAGGGGTTCAGGGAAACCGGCAGGCCGGACTTGAGTCCTGGAGATGGGAAGTACAGTGCCTGCACTCTGAAGGAGGGGTGTTAATGTTGCAGTTTAAAAACTGTAGTGTAAAGCACCCTTCTGGCAAGATAGTGATGGAGTGAATGATGGTGCAAGTTTTTCTTTTTCGGGCCACCCTGCCTTGGTGGGAATCAGCCAGTGTGCTAATAAAAAATAATAAAGATGGACTGGGGGTGGGAAGGGGAAGCCCTACCCATCCCTAGGAAAACTGCCTGGAATCAACCATTTCTGCTACTTTCAGGCCTATTTCAGGACACTTCCAGTCTGAAACTAATCAAAATCTTCATCTAACCAGTATGTCTTCCAGTCTATCAAATGGTATGAAGAAACAGCCAATAAAAACCATGAAAATTACCCTAGAAAGTGCTCCAAAGTCACTATTTTAACCCAAGCTCAGGGTCAGAGGTTAGCTGTTCCCATCATGAATTGCATTGGGCAGTATTTTTTTAATAATGCACATACAACACACAAGACTCATTCTCTCATGTCTAGATCAAAATTGCAGCTCACAGCATATTCAAGAGTGCTATGATTTACACGTGGATCTACATATGTAAGTGCTGCCGCTTCTATTCGTGCAAATACAGTATATGAGAGACAGTGAGAGGGTTAATAATGCTAAATAAAACAGAACTGTAAATGAATGTGCAGATTCTGAGGAGAAAATAAAGAAAGTGGCCCCACTTAGTGTTCAGATAATAATGTGCTGTACTTCAGTACAACTACAACACAAGAATCCCAGCCATTCACCTCAGCCTAGTAGGGTCCCAGTAACCATCTCCACACACTTCCATGTAAACAAGCAAAAAGAACTAGAATACAAGATAAACTGTGGTAATCTGTACCTAGTGGAATACTACAAAAAAAAAAAAAAGTTGTTTGGCAAATTTAGAGACCTCTGGAACATAATCCTATTTTCCCAAATGTTCAACTCACATACAGTTAATTCCCATATGGAGTTGATTTTCAGACGTGTATCCCCACATTAGGAGAGGGTGTACAGTGTAGGAATTTGATTGTTATTATATAGGTACAGAGCCAAACGCTGATAAAAACACATACCTTCGGGTGTGTATCCCAGGAGTAATTGGAATATGACAGGCGGTGTAACCCATTATCACCTCATTTTCAAAGAAATCTTTTCCATATATGCAGATGACTATTTGAGGCCCTGGTGAGAAAGATAAAATATATATGTTAAGATCCAGAAATGTGTGTGTGTGCACGCTTGGAGAATAGACAAGGTGAGTGAACATATACAGAACCAGTCTTTTTACTTGAGTAAGGACAGTGATAATGTATACTGTATACAGTAGAACCCCTGTATCCACTGATTCGGTATCCACGGTTTCAGTTATCCATGGTTTACTGTGGCTTAAAAATACCTCTTAATTTTGCATAATAATGGGCCCATAGCACAAAGGTAGAGAAGCTGGCAGTTCTTCAGAGTTGTGAAGTGCTTTCCATCAGTGAAAAAGTGATAATCTCTACCTATTGTGCATAATCTGTCAATTAAACTTTATAATAGGTATGTATAGGACTTATATATATATAGGGTTTGCTACTATCCATGGCAGGTCCTTGGAACGTATCCCCCATGGATACGGGGGTCCTACTGTATATAACTCTAGGGCAAGTATGGAGAATACAGTATCTGGCCCATGGTGTGTTTTGAACCACACTGCATGGCAATACCATATCTTGTTTAATTTAGAAGCTCCCCAATTTATGAGTTGTGTTTTCAGTATTTCAGCTTGCAAAACAAGTTACTCTGTGAATGTCAGTCTACTCAGTGAATCTCAGTCTGTGGTTAATAACAAAATTAAAACACAGAGAGTAATTATGAGTTACACATGTTATTAACCTCAGACTGACATTCGCAGAGCAATTATTTTGTGATATTATGTCTTTCTGGACCTCATTCGAAAGTATGGATCATAATGCTGGTACAGTGGACCCTCCCTTTTCGTCGATCTCTGTTATCACTGATTTCTGTTTTCGCCAACTTTTTTCGTCAAAATATTGGTTCCGTTTTTGTCAATTTCCTCTGCTTTGGTGGATGGTACTGAACCTGCCCAGTGCCCAGAGCGCACACAAAGCTGCCTCCCACACACATTCTCAGGCAGTGTCCTGTTGTTTCTCGGTGAGTGAACATATCCTGCGAGGTCATACGAAACATATTGTAATAATCCATTATTTTTGGCACTTGTTTATTGCGTGACTGCTAAATAAGCCAACATGGGCCAAAAAAAAAAGCTTGTAGTGCCAGCCCTTTGGTAAAGAATGTGAGAAACACTACAGAATTCAAGAAAAAGTTTGTAGACAAATACGAAAGTGGTGGTGGTGGTGGTGGTAGAGGGTGGTAGTGATGGTGGTAGAGGGGTGGTAGTAATGGTGGTAGAGGGTGGTAGTGATTGTGATGGTAGTAGAGGGTGGTAGTGATGGTGGTAGAGAGTGGTAGCAGTTGTAATATGGTAGAGGGTGGTAGTGGTTGTGATGGTGGTGGTGGTAGTGGTTGTGATGGTGGTAGAGGGTGGTGGTAGAGGGTGGTAGTAATGGTGGTAGAGGGTGGTAGTGATGGTGGTAGAGGGTGGTAGTGGTTGTGATGGTGGTAGAGGGTGGTAGTGATGGTGGTAGAGGGGGGTAGTGGTTGTGATGGTGGTAGAGGGTGGTAGTGATGGTGGTAGAGGGTGGTAGTGACAGTGGTAGAGGTTGTGATGGTGGTAGTGGGTGGTAGTGGTGGTGGTAGAGGGTGGTAGTGGTTGTGATGGTAGAGGGTAGTAGTGATGGTGGTAGAGGGTGGTAGTGATGGTGGTAGAGGGTGGTAGTGATGGTGGTAGAGGGTGCTAGTACTCACCTATTTGTACTCACCTATTTGTGGTTGCAGGGGTCGAGTCACAGCTCCTGGCCCCGCCTCTTCGCTGATTGCTACTAGGTCCTCTCTCTCCCTGCCCCATGAGCTCTATCATACCTCGCCTTAAAACTATATATGGTTCCCGCCTCCACTACGTCACTTTCTAGGCTATTCCACGGCCTGACTACTCTATGACTGAAGAAATACTTCCTAACATCCCTTTGATTCATCTGAGTCTTCAACTTCCAATTGTGACCTCTTGTGTCTGTGTCCCTTCTCTGGAACATCCCGTCTTTGTCCACCTTGTCTATTCCGCGCAGTATTTTATATGTCGTTATCATGTCTCCCCTGACCCTCCTGTCCTCCAGTGTCGTCAGGCCGATTTCCCTCAACCTTTCTTCGCAGGACAATCCCCGTAGCTCTGGGATTAGTCTTGTTGCAAACCTTTGCACTTTCTCTAATTTCTTGACGTTTTTGACTAGGTGTGGATTCCAAACTGGTGCTGCATACTCCAGTATGGGCCTGACGTAAATGGTATACAGAGTCTTAAACGAATCCTTACTGAGGTATCGGAACGCTATCCGTAGGTTTGCCAGGCGCCCGTATGGTGCAGCAGTTATCTGATTGATGTGCGCCTCAGGAGATATGCTCGGTGTTATACTCACCCCCAGATCTTTTTCCTTGAGTGAGGTTTGCAGTCTTTGGCCATCTAAACTATATTGTGTCTGCGGTCTTCTTTGCCCTTCCCCAATCTTCATGACTTTGCATTTGGCAGGGTTAAATTCAAGGAGCCAGTTGCTGGACCAGGCTTGTAGCCTGTCCAGGTCTCTTTGTAGTCCTGCCTGATCCTCATCCGATTTGATTCTTCTCATTAACTTCGCATCATCTGGAAACAAGGACACTTCTGGTAGTGATGGTGGTAGAGGGAGGTAGTGATGGTGGTAGAGGGAGGTAGTGATAGTGGTAGAGGGTGGTAATGGTTGTGATGGTGGTAGAGTATGGTAGTGATGGTGGTAGAGGGTGGTAGTGGTTGTGATGGTGGAACAGGGTGGTAGTGATGGTGGTAGAGGGTGGTAGTGGTTGTGATCGTGGTAGAGGGTGGTAGTGGTTGTGATGGTGGTAGAGGGTGGTAGTGGTTGTGATGGTGGTAGAGGGTGGTAGAGGGTGGTAGTGGTTGTGATGGTGGTAGAGGGTGGTAGTAATGGAGATTTGTGCAATGTGGAGTAGGATGGAAAGATTTGTGGCATTAAAAAACAAAGAAGGGATGTGACCCTAGATAAGGACTTGGTACCTAGTCTTTATGGAGGGGGATTCCCCTTCTAAAGAATAACCTCTCTTCCCTCTCCAATCCTCCCTGTCTTCCATCCACCAACAACAGCCTTCAATAAAGGTAAGTGTCATGTTGAATATTCATTGTTTTGTGCATGTAAATCTATCTTTAAGGTAAAAAAAAAATTTTTTGTTAATACTTCTGGATATCTGGAACGGATTAATTGGAGTTACATTATTTCTTGTGGAGAAAATGGTTTCAGCTTTCGCTGCTTTCCGTTTTTGCCGATATCTCTGGGACGGATTAAACATGAAAACTGAGGGTCCACTGTATTTCTAAATGGGGAACCCCTGTAATTTTCAAAGCTATTATGTAGCAATATTAAATGTCAAAAAAAAAAACCCTGCTTTCTAGAAACTGTATGACACTAACTCTTTGGGAGAGAAATATTGTATAACTAGAATAAATCCACCTAATGTTTCATACTTACAGCCAAAAGGATTAGTTGACTTGAAAGTAATATCTATTGGGAAGTTCCACACAAACACCTGTCTCTCATCATCACTGCGGCGAGCACTTTGAGAAGCACATTCTTCCAACCCCTTCATAAGAAAAAATAAAAATTATAGCACAGGTGGCCCTTACTTCATGCAGTAAATATGTTCTAGGCTTATGACAGCTGTACTAAGCTCAATAAAGCTGCCAACACAAAATACTATAACAGAATTCTTATTACATTTTGTAAATCATGCTGACTGCACATGGGTAATGTATACTGTAAACATGGAGCCACCATTAGAAATGGGACATCAGATAATGCTGAATTCACAAAATGAATCAGCATAAAGTGTGAGAAAATTTTTGATTCTCTTTTTAAATAAAAAACTTACAAAGTAAATGCTTAGACCACATTTCAGCCTTATTGTGTATTTTGTTACAAGGCATGGATTATTATTATTATTATTATTATTATTATTATTATTATTATTATTATTATTATTATAGTCATGGGGAGTGCTAAGCCTGTAGAGGTATATTGCCTGGGGAATATAGGTAATCAAATATAATCTCAAGAAGGGCAGGGGTAGCTCCAATTCTCTGAATCAAAAGCCCTTCACCAGCCTCAAAGCAAGACCCCCTCCCCCTTTTTCTCATGAATCTCATTATCAACTATGTATATACCACTAAAGATGTGCAGTAAAAAGAGGTCAAACAAGTATATTTACCAGTATAACTTCCCAGTCTTGTCCAGAAGCAAAGGAATAATTAAAATAGAGGTTATCACCTCCCATGAACCGTCCAGTTTCAATCTGTCCCGTCACATTGAGCAGAAAAACACTTGGAGAGCTAATTGACATTTTCTTGACACTAGCCTGAAAAAAATATATTACTTAAAAAAAAAAAATGTAGCTTGTAAGAACTTGTTTTGGACAATAATAGGAAGATAACATTAATTCAGTTTATTAACAATGACGTTCAATTATAATTTGGGTAGCTACTACAGTAGGACTTCTTTTACAAATACAAATTTTTATTTCCTTGCAAGAGTACATTGAGATTATGTAATTACAAGTGCAAAGAGCCACTATCATGCCATGGCATTATGGCCAGACTAAGTTAATGGCTTACAGACTACTTAATAATACTAGAGAAATTGATCATAGTTTAAGTTGTACATCTGTTTTTATTTATAGTAGACAGTAAGTTTACTCAAATTACAATCTGGGGATATTACATTGGGACAAGTTGAAAGTATTCTGTAGGTTTTGTATATCAATAGTAATGGAGTGGATGATGGTGAAAGTTTTTCTTTTTCGGGCCACCCTGCCTTGGTGGGAATCGGCCAGTGTGATAATAAATAAATAATAATTATGGGAATATAACATTGTGAGTTGTTCAAAGCAGTTTACAGTATGAGAATGTTACAATTGGGTGTAAGTTGGGTAGGTGTTTATACTACAATGTAGTATTAAGTAATTCATGAACTTTGGGCATCTAGTTTTTAAATTTTCAGATTTAGGTAATTGGGAGATTTTTGGTAAAGTTAAATATTGAGTATTGAGTATGTAGTTTAGGGTGAGGAGGCTGAGACAAGGGATGGGGTTTCATATTAAAATATTTTTGTAAAATAGGGCTTGATGAGAAGATGCTGAGAGGCCTAAATACTTAACCAGTTTCCCACAGGCTATGTATGTGAAGAAGGTTTGTCAACAATCTTGTTGTTGTTAGGGTTTATAGGGACACGGATGGTTGACACCGTATCGAGCTCTGCATTCTGGTGTCCGGAAGGAAACATTGTCAAATTGGGTGGAACATAACTTGCGGGAAATATGTCATATATTCTCCAGTGCAGCCCGAGTCCCGCAGAAAGGCACAAATATTTGCCACCGATGCTTAGGACAGCAGATGTGAGTGTTGAGTGTTATTAAAGGTTACCAGTCTCTCAGGCCCGTGGCCTGGTAGGCAATGTTCTCGCTTTAATAATAATATAATAATAATATATTTATTTACTACAAGTATATGTATATGTTATACAGCCCTAGCCGACATTATTGTCATACTGCTATATAGAAAGCCACTTGTTATGCAGAGCATTTCGGGTAAATTAAGTCAGTTTTGTCCCAGGATGCGACCCACACCAGTCGACTAACTCTCAGGTACCCATTTTACTGATGGGTGAACATAGACATCCAGTGTAAAGAAACACGCCCAATGTTTCTACCCTCGCTGCGAATCGAACCCAGACACTTGCCGTGTGAAGCGAGAGCTTTAGCTACCAAGCCACGGGGCCAGAGTGTCCGTGGTTCGATCCCCGGCAAGGGTGGAAACATTGGGCGTGTTTCCTTACACCTGTTATCGCGTTCACCTAGCAAGTAAGTAGGTACCTGGGTGTTAGTCGACTGGTGTGGGTCGCATCCTGGGGGACAAGAGTGAAGGACCACAATCGTAATAAGACAGACAGTCCCTCGATGACATATTGACTTTGTTGGGTTTTCCTGGGTGGCTAACCCTCCGGGGTTAAAAAATCGAACAAAATCTTGTTTCTCTCACACCTTACTGAACCCGACTTCCTGGGAATCCAGGAAAAAATATGTTGTCCAAAAATGGGTGATAAGATAAGATTAGATAAAGATTATAAATGAAACAAAGTTTCCTCCCGAAAGAGAAACGGAAATATTAAATTCCCTTTTAGGTCAAGCTGACCTTGCCTGAAACCCGGCATAGCCAGACGTTCACTTACCCATATCTGAGTCAAGAACAGGCTTCCCTCAGACCTGGAGTTTACCTGGAGAGAGTTCCGGGGGTCAACGCCCCCGCGGCCCGGTCTGTGACCAGGCCTCCTGGTGGATCAGAGCCTGATCAACCAGGCTGTTGCTGCTGGCTGCACGCAAACCAACGTACGAGCCACAACCCGGCTGATCAGGAACTGACTTTAGGTGCTTGTCCAGTGCCAGCTTGAAGACTGCCAGGGGTCTGTTGGTAATCCCCCTTATGTGTGCTGGGAGGCAGTTGAACAATCTCGGGCCCCTGACACTTATTGTATGGTCTCTTAACGTGCTAGTGACGCCCCTGCTTTTCATTGGGGGGATGGTGCATCATCTGCCAAGTCTTTTGCTTTCGTAGTGAGTGATTTTCGTGTGCAAGTTTGGTACAGTCCCTTTAGGATTTTCCAGGTGTATATATCATGTATCTCTCCCTCCTGCGTTCCAGGGAATACAGGTTTAGGAACCTCAAGCGCTCCCCGTAATTTAGGTGTTTTATCTGTGTTATGCGCGCCGTGAAAGTTTTTCTGTAAAATTTTTCTAGGTCGGGAATTTTACCTGCCTTGAAAGGTGCTGTTAGTGTGGGGAGCAATACTCCAGCCCAGATAGAACAAGTGACCTGAAGAGTGTCCCTCATGGCTTGGCCTCCCTAGTTTTGAAGGTTCTCATTATCCATCCTGTCATTTTTCTAGCAGATGCGATTGATACAATGTTATGGTCCTTGAAGGTGAGATCCTCCGCCATGTCACTCCCAGGTCTTTGACGTTGGTGTTTCGCTCTATTTTGTGGCCAGAATTTGTTTTGTACTCTGATGAAGTTTTAATTTCCTCATGTTTACCATATCTGAGTAATTGAAATTTCTCATCGTTGAACTTCATATTGTTTTCTGCAGCCCACTGAAAGATTTGGTTGATGTCCGCCTGGAGCCTTGCAGTGTCTGCAATGGAAGACACTGTCATGCAGATTCGGGTATCATCTGCAAAGGAAGACACGGTGCTGTGGCTGACATCCTTGTCTATGTCGGATAAGAGGATGAGGAACAAGATGGGAGCGAGTACTGTGCCTTGTGGAACAGAGTTTTCACCGTAGCTGCCTCGGACTTTACAAAGTTGACGATACTCTCGTGTTCTGTTAGTGAGGAAATTATAGATCCATCAACCGACTTTTCCTGTTATTCCTTTAGCACGCATTTTGTGCGCTATTACGCCATGGTCACACTTGTCGAAGGCTTTTGCAAAGTCTGTATATATTACATCTCCATTCTTTTTGTCTTCTAGTGCATTTAGGACCTTGTCGTAGTGATCCAATAGTTGAGACAGACAGGAGCGACCTGTTCTAAACCAATGTTGCCCTGGGTTGTGTAACTGATGAGTTTCTAGATGGGTGGTGATCTTGCTTCTTAGGACCCTTTCAAAGATTTTTATGATATGGGATGTTAGTGCTATTGGTCTGTAGTTCTTTGCTGTTGCTTTACTGCCCCCTTTGTGGAGTGGGGCTATGTCTGTTGTTTTTAGTAACTGTGGGACGACCCCCCCTGTCCATGCTCCCTCTCCACAGGATGGGAAAGGCTCGTGATAGGGGCTTCTTGCAGTTCTTGATGAACACAGAGTTCCATGAGTCTGGCCCTGGGGCAGAGTGCATGGGCATGTCATTTATCGCCTGTTCGAAGTCATTTGGCGTCAGGATAACATCGGATAGGCTTGTGTTAATCAAATTTTGTGGCTCTCTCATAAAAAATTCATTTTGATCTTCGACTCTCAGTCTGGTTAGCGGCTTGCTAAAAACTGAGTCATATTGGGACTTGAGTAGCTCACTCATTTCCTTGCTGTCATCTGTGTAGGACCCATCTTGTTTAAGTAGGGGCCCAATACTGGACGTTGTTCTCGATTTTGATTTGGCATAGGAAAAGAAATAATTTGGGTTTCTTTCGATTTCATTTATGGCTTTTATTTCTTCCCGCGATTCCTAACTCCTAAAGGATTCTTTTAGCTTAAGTTCGATGCTTGCTATTTCTCTGACCAGTGTCTCCCTACGCATTTCAGATATATTGACCTCTTTTAGCCGCTCTGTTATTCTTTTCCGTCGCCTGTAAAGGGAGCGCCTGTCTCTTTCTATTTTACATCTACTCCTCCTTTTTCTTAGAGGAATAAGCCTTGTGCATACATCGAGTGCCACCGAGTTAATCTGTTCTAGGCATAAGTTGGGGTCTGTGTTGCTTAGTATATCTTCCCCGCTTATATCGGTTAGGACTTGGTTTACTTGGTCCCACTTTATGTTTTTGTTATTGAAGTTGAATTTGGTGAATGCTCCCTCGTGACTAGTCTCATTATGTCGGTCTGGGGCTCCACGCATACATGTCTGAACCTCAATTATGTTGTGATCTGAGTATATTGTTTTTGATATGGTGACATTTCTTATCAGATCATCATTGTTAGTGAAGATGAGGTCTAGTCTAGGAGTAGCTGGTGTATGGCGCCCCTACAATTTGCTTGTCAGCGGGCAGTATATAAGGAAGACATATCTCTCCGGAAAAGAAAACAGGAGAAATTCAACACTTATACTCAAGGCGGGGATGCAGAGTGAAATGCCCACACTCCACCGACACCGGCGATAAAATCCATTCAGTGATATCTTTTTATCTCTCTCTCTCTCTCTTTGTTTGTCTGTCTGTCTGTCTGTCTGTCTGTCTGTCTGTCTGTCTCTCTTTCTCTGTCTGTCTGTCTGTCTGTCTCTCTCTCTCTCTCTCTCTCTCTGTCTGTCTGGTGCTCTGTTGGAGGTTTATAGGGCTACCACGGTTAATGACGCTTTGAACCACCTCTCCACTTTCTCGGAACATTTCATAGTATATCTCAGAATACATCTACCAGACAAGGAGAATAAGATGAAAGCGTTCCAAACAGAGCGGAGTAAATTTATTACCAATGCCCGCATAGAAATCCTACCTATACGAAACAATGTTAATCTCTTTATTGAGTCGAAGTGTGGCAACAGGCCTAAGACCGATGTTACTGGAATTATGAAGGGCAATCAAAGCTCACGCCTCATAGAGCCCTACCTCATGTTGTCTGAGGAAGATATGTTGCCAAAATATAGGCTATAATAATAATAGAAAATTAGAACAGACAGCAGACAATTTCAATTATGTAAAGTGGACTTCCCCGCCTAAACCCGGACGGAGTTAAATGCCACAGCCTATACAAATTGCTCTGATAAAGCTTATAGTGATGTAATTATGCTTGGAGGACTTTGATGAAGACCTATTGTGACGTCAGTATTTTTTTTTCGGTGTCACTCACAGGAAGAGCATGATGTGCACAATTAACTAGCCGCTCAGGCGGCACAATAGCAAAACAGCTCACAGCTTACCTCAAATAGTGGCTGTTTTTTTTCCACTCCTCGCCCATTCCAACAGCAGAATAATGCAGAAAATAACTGACGTGTCTACCCGGCTGATGCGCGAATTTTGCAAATTGTGATGAGTTCCCAAGAAGATAATGGGGCAAAAAGTTGCCAGATTATTGAAAGCAAGGCAACCACACACCACCATGACTAATGTGGATATCTCTTAAAGAGTTAAATAGTGCTAGAGCAATACCTGGCTGTTGAAAAAAACAAAAAGGCACAGCACTGTGACTGGAACTATAAACAAATAACCCGTACATAGGAGAGAGGAGCTTACGACGACGTTTCGGTCCGACTTGGACCATTTACAAAGTCGTCGTAAGCTTCTCTCTCCTATGTGCGGGTTACGTGTGTTTTGGCTGTTTAATTTAAAGTGTTATTACACCAGCAAAATGAAGCCTATACTCGAAGTGTCGTAACAGTAATTGGTCGCCTTTTACTTGCCTCAGCAGTAACTGGTTCTCTCTTCGATGCCTTAACAACACTGGTCTTACACCAGCCTCTGAAGCAGACCATCTTTCACTCGTCTCTGTACTAGTTGGTCCTCGCTACTGCAGATGGAGTGGACAAATAAGATAACCTCACAGATGACCTGAAGTCCTACGCAAGTCAGGGAGAAACAAGTCCAGAAATAAAGGTTGGATGCTTTA